GCTTGGCATGGTGGTGGCCGGGGGGAACCCACACATTTGGTCACAAATGTCTTCTGTGTTGATTGTTGCTAAGAGTATAGGAAAAACACTTTGGCTTGTTTATTCCTATATATATTCAGACAGACAATAATTAAATGGAACAGCACAAGGAGTCCAGAAATAGACTCACACATATAAAGTCAATTGATTTTTCAACAAAGACACGAATGCAATTCAGTGAGGGAAAGGAAGTCGTTTTATCAAATCTTACCTGGATTAACCAGATATCCACATTGAAAAAAAATGACCTTGACCTCTGCCTCACAGATTACACAGAAATTATTTCAAGATGGATTATAGTCCTAAAGATAAAATCTAAAACTATGTCTAGAAGAAAATAAAGGTATCTTCATACCATGTGGTAGTCAAGAGTTTCTTAGGATACACACACAATAAAAAAGGATAAATTGTACCTCATCAAAATTAAAAACCTTCTGATTATTGACACCATTAAAATAATGTAAAATATTTGCAATATATATATCTGACAAAGGACATATTCAAAACATATATATAATGTTTAAAAATCAATAAAAAAAACTTAAAAGTGGAAAAAAAGTCTCAGACACTGCAGAAAAGAAGATAATACAAATTACCAATAAGCATGTGAAAAAGTGCTCAACCTCATTAATTCATTGGGAAATGCAAATTAAAGCTACAATGAAATACCATTACAGACCCATTAGAATTGCTAAAATTTAAAACACTGACAATATTAAATGTTACTGAAAATGTAAAACAACTGGAATTCTCATGCATTGATTGCCATGTATAAAATTGTACAGTAATCACATTGGAAAACACTGGCAATTTTTTAAAAAGGTAAATAAATAAACACCTATCCTATGAGCCAACAATTCTAAGTATACGCAAGAGAAATGGAAACATACGTCCACAAAACTTATACAAAAATGTTCATAGCAGCTTTATTCACAGGAGCCCCAAACTGGAAATAACCCAAATGTCCACCAACAGATGAATGACTAGACAGATTGTGATATTGTGTGCATAATGGAATATTATTCCACACACACACAAAAAATTACATTACTGATTTACCCAGTGTGGATGACTATTAAAAACATTATTTTGTACAAAAAATGTAGATATGAAAGAGTACAAACTCTATGATTCCATTTATATGAAATCCTAAAAAGGCAAAACTAATATACAATGATAGAAATCAGAACAGTGGTTGCCTCTGTACATGGAAGTATTGACTAGAGAGGAGAATGTGGGGAATTCTCTGGAATGATAAAAATGTTCTGTTTCTTGATTTGAGTTTTGGTTACATGGATGACACATTTGCCAACACTCTTTGGACTGTACTCTTATCTGTGCATTTTACTGCTTATAAATTATGTCAGTAAAGAAAAAAGAGGCTGGCCAGTTAGCTCACTCAGTAGAGAGCAGTGCCGATAACACCAAGATCAAGCATTTGGATCCCTGTACCAGCCAGCCACAAAAAAAAAAAAAAAGAAAGAAAGAAAGAAAAAGAAAACTTTAATCATACATTTACAACCTAAACATGGCAACTGCACCTGAATTCAATCAAATCTTGTATCATCTTGTTTATAACTTAAGGACTAAAGGTTTCAATTAATTAAGGTTAATCTTGCAACCAAAGAGGAAAGTTTGTTATAGGATAGCATTTGCTTGGAGGACCCAGATATTTCAAGAGGGTTTTCCCAGGACCAACTAACGCACATTAGACAATAAATGCAGAGTGCAAGATCAGAGGAAGATAAAAGTCTGAAGTGTTTGAAGTCTGTCTTCTTAGACTCCAGTCTGCCTTCTGATATTCTCTGTGAGTTGGACCTATTCAGTCCATCCTCCCCACCACCACGACTGAGATCTTTCTAGGATGCAAATCTGAAACTCATGTGGTCTCTCCAGATTCATCTCCAGCCTTTCTCCCCACTATCCCAAATACTCCATTTGCAAGCATCGTTCTTAAGTTCTTGCTGTCCACATACACACCACACTTTCATGCTTCTTTCTCTGCCTAGAATCCTTCTCTTCCAGTTCACTCTGTCAAACCATCATTTTTTGACACTAGCTGTGACCTCCAGGTGCTGGTCCCACTCCTCCACACCCTCTTTCATAGTCCTCATCACATTGTCTTGTTTTGTTACCTGTGCTTAGGTTTGCTGTCTCTCTTCATCTCTAGTTAAAAGACCAGGAATGTCTTAAGCACATTGGCCACATTGGCATCTCTAACTGCCCAGCATAGTGACTGGTTCCTAGTCCAGTGATAGGTACTTGTATTAGTCCATTTTGTGTTGCTATAAGAGAGTATCTGAAATGGAGTAATTTGTGAAGAACAGAGGTTTATTTGGCTTATGATTCTGGAGCAGCTGCATCTGGCACAGGCCTCAGGCTGCTTCTACTCACGGCAGAAAGCAACAGGCAGCCGGTGGGTACAAGCAGATCACATGGTGAGAGGAAGCAAGAGAGAGAGAGAGAGAGAGAGAGAGAGAGGAGGTGCCAGGGTCGTTTAAAGAACCAGCTCTCACAGGAACTAATAGAGCAAAGTCTCGCTCAGGCCTCCCTTCCCCAGGCTGAGCATTAACCCATTCATGAGGGATCTGCTGCCATGACTCAAACAGCTCCCAACACTGCCACACTGGGGATCAGATTTCAACATGAGTTTTGGCGGGGACAACACATCCGAACTCTATCAGTACTTATCAAATATTTGAAAAAAGGCAGTTGGGGGAGTAGGGGACACATTTACAGTTATCCTTCCCAGAAATATCTGTAATTTTTAGGAAAGCAAAAGAATAATCTCCAGGTGTGCATAGGTGCATGTGCATGTTTAAGTGTAAGGATAATCTTTGGGCAGGAGACTCTTGGAGGCCTTTGAACTTACGCCAGATAGGTAAAAAGGAAGGGCCCAGAATTCAGTTAAAATTCAGTCAGCAAAAAAGATGTTGGAAAAGACAGGACATTGAAGGTAAAGATTGTCTTATGAATTCAGAGACAACTGATTTCTGCCGAGGAAGGAGAGAAGTCAGAGATGATGCGAGGATTACCGGTTTTGCCAGCTTGAAACATGAGGTGAGCATGTGTGTTAGCTCAGGCTGCTGTACCAGAATACCATAGACCAGGTGGCTTAAACAACAGAAATTTACTTTCTCACAGTTCTGGAGGCTGGAAACTCCCAGATTAAGGTCTGGCAGGATCGGCTTCTGGTGAGGGCTCTCTTCCTGCCTGCCTTCCTATTATGTCCTCAAGGGAAGAGGGGAGAGGGGACGGGGAGCGAGCTCTCTAATGTTTCTTCTTAGGAGGGCACTAATCCTATGGGGTAGGGGTCCTATCCTCATAACCTCATTTAACCTTAACTACTTCCATAAAGGCCCTATCTCCAAATAAAGTCACATTGGGGGTTAGGGCTTCAACACATGAATTTGGAGAGAACACAAACATTTAGTCTGTAACAGCATCTTTGTGTGAAAAAAACTCGGCAAGACTTTCTGAAAAAGTTTGAGCAGCAAAGAAGGAATGTGCTGAAGAGATGCAAGGGTATTTCAAGAAGTTCATGGAAAAATGGAATTAAAAGATAATCTGAATCTTTACATGAGCTTTTTGAAGTATCCTCATACCTTTTGATGTTTTAAGGCAACATTTTCAGTTCTATCCTCTATACCATTTTCTCTCTTTTAGATAAAATGAACGAATTTTCCTATTAGGTTTGTGTGTTGCTTGTCCAAGCCAGCTTCCTACTGCCTACTAGATACAAATATGCATGTGAGGCTTTAAAATGCCTACCTCTAGGGCTGGCTGGTTATCTCATTTGGCTAGAATGCGATGTTATGACACCAGGGTCAGGGGTTCAGATCCCTGTACCAGCCAGCCACGAAAAAAAAAAAAAAAAAAGCCTGCATCTAGGTAGCCAATAGGAAGATGACTTCTAAAGAAGACTGGCAAGTATGACTATCTTTGCTTATTTTTTATTCAAACACAATTTTGAATTGTTTTTCCCTTTGGGGTGATATTATGACTTTGCAGCCAAAATGTAAGAAGTGAACCTATTTTAAGAAAGTGATGCCTGTTTCTAGCATTTTCATTTTTTATGGAACAAAATTATGTTCATCCCTATCCATATACAAATACGGCATATTATATAATCCAGATATTCTAGGTTTGTACAAAAATGATGCAATGCCTTGCCATATGAAGCATCTGCTCTGTGTTGGGCATCATACCAGCTGCTGGGAGTACAGAGAAGCCAGCCCAGGCCCTGTCCACAAAGCACTTAAGAGTCTGCTGGGGAGATGGACAAATATTTTCCAGGTGTCTTTCCAGGAGCGGAAGGGGTTTGTCCAGTCATCCAACTTTCTCTTACCCAGATGGCTGCTTAGAAAGGCCGCTGAAGTCAAAGAACAGCTTTCCAAGAGAAGACCTATCCTACAAATAGCACAGTACTGAATATACAACCCATGCCAACCAGTGAAGCAACCCAGTTGGATACGTGCAGTGTCTATAGAGAGATGGAAGTTTCGTATTTATGTCACTTAAACATTCTTCAATTCACTCCATGATGCCTTTGTTGGAGTAACCATAGAAGATTCATCAGGTAAATTATAAAAGGGGCAACCAGGTACAACAGAATGCTCTTATAAAAGGAGAAACTCCCAACCCAGCCTCATTCACAAAACGCTGCTTGTTTTTTTCTAAAACATCATTCTAATTTTTACTTTTATTTTTTAAAAAAGATATTTCTCCTAGAGACATTTTAAAAACTGTAATTTTACTTCTGAGGTATTTGCAAGTCTTGCTTGCTTCTATGGTTTTGTGACATCATAAGCATCCTGAACAAAATATATTGCAACTCATGGGGAGTTTTGTATCTCTGCAGAACCAGTAAAATTATAAAAGCTTCTAGGCACACAGATAAAATTTTAACACAACAACCTATTACAAGAGTTTTTTTACACTTAAAAAAACCCACACAGAAACAAAGTCAATTAAATTTTATTTCAACCAAGAATATAAAATAAATGCAATGTAATTTATTTTAGTTTTAACAGTCATTTCAAGAAGGACGTCAGAACAACTCAAAAGTGGGAAACACTCAGCTCCCAAGCTGCAGCTCATCCTGCACCCCATGGAGTGGGCCTTGCTGGGGAGCAGCTGGCTCTGAGCACACACCTTGCAGCAGAGCATGGAAAGCTACAGTCATCTCTATAATCTTATAAAGAGGGATGCGTGCAGAAAATGACTGAATAAAGAGAACAGGTACACTTCACAAATAGGAATTATAGGAAATACAAACTAGGCAGTTTAGAAAGGGTATACTACATAACATATATAAAAAGTACTTTAAATTGTTGTTAAAAAGGACATCTTCAGTCCAGATTTTGTGTAATACTTTTAGTGTCTACACAGACAAATCTTTAAAAAAATTAAATAGTATTAATTTACTAAATATTTAGGAGATAACAGTGCATTAAGGATTCTTTCCCCCATATAATACATACATATCACTCCTTTACAGTGATAGCATAGAAGAGTAAGTATGGCCTTAGGTACAACACATTTCTTAAAAATCCTAAAACAATGAAGATTATGATATTTGTGACTATTCTCGAAGATTATGGGGACATAACTGCTGTTTTATGTAAAATATTACTCGTACTTTGAATCCTTCAAGCCTCCGTTAGTCTAACTGCCATTTCACTGCTTTTCTCCATTCCCTAGGAAGACATTACCATAGAGTTTAGGACTTGCAATTTTCATAGAATTCCTCCTTTATTGTATAGTTTATGCTACATAAATTTGCTCAAAAGCAGATCAAGCTCAAGTCTTATTCTCCAACTACTTTTTTCTTTTCTTTTACCTTTAACAGAGAAAACAGCATCATTTTAGAGGCACAGAGAACTAGCAGTTGCTTCACCAGGAATGAGGCAGTGAGCATGTAAATAAATGTTATCCCTTTCCAATCTTAAGAGTAAATTATGTTCATAAGAGCAAAAGAGTAGTGCAGAAGGCCAAAATTCTAAGTACTAAAGTTTCAAAACCACACAGATATAAAAATACACGTCCTTGGTTTTTGTACGTCCCTGCATGATCTACTTCATCACAAGGATTGTTTCAGCCTCATAATATCAGCCCTGCCGCCAAGCCACCTTACTTTAGCTCATCTGTCCTGAAGCTTTTGGATCCCTTTTCCCAAACACACACCTCACCAGAAAGCTAACTCTGAGAGTGGTTTATAATATGGAGGGCAGAAAACCTTCACTTTCATTCTTTCCTTTCAATAACCTCCCATGGTTTGGGTGTTCCCATGGGCTGAGGGATGTCTCTCTTGCATCCTTGGGGGACATAACATTATCTAATAAAACTTTAAAGAGAAATGTGGTCATTTAGGGACCACAAAGATAAATTTTACCCTCAAAAAGCTTCACAAGTCTCCTTAGGGGTCCCACAGTTTTAGGGCCCTTAGGTGTATTTGAGGCTTTGTTTTCCTTTATTGAGAAAAGAAATTACAAACCAAAATTATCTCAAAGTGTAATGGGCATCAGTGGGCATCACCAACCCTGAGCCAAGAAAAGAGAAAAGGGCCAGTACCAGGGCAGTGAAAAGAAACCCAGTCATGTGTGTAATGGGGATTTCTGGGTATGTCCTGCAGAACACTGTGTATTGGAAGCAACTGACAAAATAACCTTACAGTTTGTATGTAAGTTCTGCCAGTAAAATTCATTATGTACAAGGAAAGCAGGACAGTCTGGTGAAGTAAGCACACATCCTAAGAACGGTATACAAAAGTTGCTTATAAGAAGATATCAAAGGGCATGGTATTTTGGTTTATGTACATATTTGGGTTTGTCTTCTTTAAAATCACCCCTCGAAGGCAGGAACAGAGTTTATAATTTCACTGTAATTTCCTACAACCACTTAGTAGAGTATGTTCTGCCTACAAGGGCCACCCCATTACTGTTGAAAGGCTGCTGTGAACATTTCAAATATACATGGATGACTTTTGTGATATTTAATCACTGGCTTTCTTTAAGGTGGACAGACAAAGAAGCCCTCCCATAACACTGTTTACTGAAGAACAGAATTTGAAATAACTATCCAAGTGCGTTTTAGCAGTAAACAAAAGGACCTTCATATTATAAGACTGTTTCACTTACAAGTCAATCACATGGCATTAGACATCCCAGGACAGCTCACTCTCACCAAATCGACCACAAAGCTCCAAAGGACAGGAAGTATGTCTTGCCCTTTTTGTTTTCAACTCGGCAGAGCTCTGGGCATATGGGGAGGGTGTGGTGAACATCTGCTGACCAATAGCTCTGGACAGTGAGGCTTTAGGGCACAGGATAGAACCTTATATAGGTAGCTGCACAATGCAGAGGACTATAAATTTCTTATTTTAAAAATGGAAGGGGTAAAATAGCATGAAAATGATCAAAAATTCCTTCCAATGGAGCATGTCAACTGTTTCATCTTTAGTCTTGATGAGAGTCACTATACAGTCATTGTTATTACTAATAAACATTATTATGCTGAGATCAGTAAGGTCCTGGCTGGCTACAGTTATCACATCAATAGTGCAAAATGTATACTGGCTTCTGTCTAAAATTTTATTTTACTTGTGTATGGACCCAGAGTATCATAACCAGGTAGGTAAGTTCACACAGAATAGTTTTTAAAAATGCATATAATTTGCATATACGACAATCAGGTATTTCTTCTAGCTCAAGAAAATTTTTTAAAACAAGGCTGGTGCTGCTAGTAGCATTCGGAAGAACACAGATTTCTTGCCCCTTACAATGTGATCTCTTAAGTCTTTACATTTCCTTTTGATTTGGGGAGTGAGAGTCTCCTTAAAGTGGCTAAGAAAGAACTCAGCCTCTAATTCATAGATAATGGAAATGCAAATGTTCACTTTATCTAGTATAGTCTTACACTATCTGCTCAGAGTTGTTAGGCACAATAATGAAGTTTTCTCCTAGGGGCAAAAGAAAGCATTCAGTGCAATGAAAATTCTTGATAGAATTAAGTTTCTGTAACAACAGCAAAATTATGCATACATAATACATACTTTAAACATGAATAAAACCTAAATTTTTAACATGCTTTAAAAATAGTCATTCTATATCTAATGCAAATACAAATGGAGGATACTGCTCCTCATTTTAAAAGCAGATTAATTTGCAGGCTTCTATTTAAGTACCCCTGATTATGTAAGAAAGTTACTCACGCAGACCTAGATGTGAAGAAACCAACAGTTCTTTAGAGAAGCCAACTTTATGTACAATACACACTAAAAGCTTTTCCTTCAAAGGGAAGTAACACATCCTTTGATCAACATTACTCCTTCAAGAAATCCTAGTGCAGTTAATATTCTCTTCAGCATCCTGGTGTGGGTCACCAGAGGACTATATTCCATCAAAGCTCTTGAAACCCTTTTTAAGGTAGACTTAGCTAATGAAGGTTAAAATTATAATTCTTAATTACTGAATACTATTCAGAATAAGATGGGAACTAAGTTCCATATGAATGATTATATAAAAATTTACCACATAGTTCAATTCTTCAATAGCATAAAGCATAGTAACTGCAAAGATCTCAGCTGTTTTTGGTTGTAGAATCCCTCTGTCCCACCACTTACATTCCCTGAAACTAGATAAATAAAAAACATAATAGTAAAGTACTTTGGGAGAGTAACAGTTTCTGTTTAAGACTTCCATGAGCAAAACAGTTACAGTTTGTGAAAACGACGTAGTGCTTTAAAAGGCGCATTTTCATCTGTGTTGCTAAATCAGTTCATGAAGTATAAAACTATACACCACTGAATCCTGTTTCTAAAACATTAAAATCCTATTACAAGAGCTTTGAAAAGATAAATCATAGTGATTGCTACAGCATGAGAAAGGTGCACCAGGAAATCCTTCAAAAAATGCTGAAGGGTTACAGAAGTGCTGGGATTAGATCAGATGCTTTATCAAGAAGTCACAATGGAACACATGCAGGAAAGGGGTGTTGGGGAAACTTCAAAAGAATCTTCTTTAAGTCAATAAAGAAGAGATATCAGTCCTGCAAAATGCTCATCGATAAGGTTTTCTTCCCAAGTGTATGAGTCTTAAATGGCATCACAGTTTGCATCTTTTGGTTCTTTTCAATGCAGACATCATATTGCTGGAGTCTGTGCTGGGGGCTGGCCTGGGCCAAGTAGGGGGTGGCTGGTCAGTACCGGTGGGCCTGGTGAGATGGGTGGTACTGCGCGCTTTGCTGAGACGAGGAGGAGTAGCCTAGTGTGCCCTGGGACTGAGAGGATCCCTGAACACTGCTTTGGTAATTCAGGCGAGAACTGGAGTGCTAGGGGAAAAGGAAATAGGAAAAGAGAATTAGTGATGGAAGAAGAGAATGGCTCAAGATGTTCATCACAATAGGACAGAGATTTAAGCCATTTTATCAGTAAACTCCTGGTTCAAATCCACAGTAACCAACAGCTAACTTAGTTTGTCATTACATTTTGCCTATTTGAAATCACAGCCTGCCACCATTGTGACCACATGTTCTGGAAGGCACAAAGTTAAGCTGGATTTCTTTGGGAGATAAGCTACACTGGCAAAGAAAGGCAGAGGGGAAACTTAGGCTGACCCGCTTCTCCTTATACTGACTAATTCTGGAGTGCAATTTAACCCTCTGCATAACTGAGATTTGCAAATAAGAACAATCCATCTGGCATGCTGAAAGCAATGGTATTCATAATGCATCCTGACATGCTGTTAATTTTCTAATTATAAATAACAACGCAGGGCTAGCTCAGTTGGTTAGAGTATGGTGCTGTAACAGCAAGGTCAAGGGTTTAGATCCCCTATCCAGCCCCAAAGCCTTAAAACCCTACTAATGGAACTCACTGAAAAACATGACAGAAGTTCTCCTGAACAGAAAAGTCTGGCCTTCAATAAACAGAAATAAACGTAACTCAGGGAGAATCAAATACAAGAAAATATAATATCACACTAGCCTTTCTTACACATTATGAATGATGGCTATTAATTTTTCATCTTAAAAAGTGTTAATGATGGAACTGAAATCTAAATATAAAGATGTGTTATTCCTAAGAAGGCCCAGAACTAGAAAATGTAAGGAAAAGAGAAAATTATAAGACTAATTGTTAAGCTAGCTATGATTACCTTTACTTTAGGCAGATTAGATTCACACAATAGCTCTTCCATACTAGATAAAGAACAAACATGTTGATCATGTAAGAGTTTCTTTTCTGTTTTTGTTTTGTTTTTGGCAGCTGGCCCATAAGAGGATCTGAATTATGACTTCGGTGTTGTAAGGCTGTGCTCTAACCAACTGAGCTAACCGGGCTAACCAGCCAGCCCTATGTAAGAGTTTCAATGGGACTCCCTCACTCTGTCTCAAGCTAGTCTCTCTAAATAGCTGAGATATCTATCTATTTCACAGATATGCAGTTAAGGTTTACTATTTTTAAGTAGATAGAACTATATGGACAAAGAAAAGAACTTTGACGAAACTTTGAACTTTAAAAAATAGGAGGAAATACCGTAATCTGTCTGTATTTGACTATAATCAGGTGACAAAGACACTCTCCTTTGACCAAAACTTTAGTCAGGCTTCTCTGACTGTATTTGACTATAATCAGGTGACAAAGACACTCTCCTTTGACCAAAACTTTAGTCAGGCTCCTCTGGGTTGTCTGCTTGACTAGGCCTGAACTTCGGGTTCCCTCTCTGTTCTTGTTGAATCTAGAGCAAGAATCCTGCTAAATCATTTTAACAAACCCCCCCCATCTTTGATGTTATCACCCTGGCCTGCTTTCAGGAATAATCCTATCAAGTCAGTTTAGCCAGAAACCCCTAGCCCTTGATATTTCCTCTTAGTAATTTTCCATCCACTGACCCTCATCCTGCCTCTTGGTTATAAATCTCTACTTGTCCTTGTTGGAGTTGAATCCAATCTCTCTCCCCCTCTGGAAGACCCTGTTGCAGTGGTCCCTATACCTATCGTCATTGAATAAAGTCTGCCTTACCGTCTTTAAGTGTTTATATTTTCTTCAACGCAGGTTAATATAATACAATCAAAGACACAAAAATGAACCAGTATATAATAAACTTTGTTGCTTGTATAATAGGAATTAGCTAAAGTTTGGGGAAAAACTGAATTTATAACAAAATTCAAATATGTTCATGACTACTACCCAAACAGCACGCTGTTTTTAGTAGATCAAACTGAAGCCTTGATTAATAGGAACCCAATGGGATTATTATATACTCCTGTGCTTGCAGGGAATCTTCAAAGAGTTTTCAGAGTAGTAGTTATGTGAAAACACATTAGTTTGTGGAGATATTCAAAATGTAAAACCAGTTTAAGCAGCTATTTATTATGTCTTTCTTGTTAAAGTTTTTCCTATTCCAATTCCTTATCACTGAGTTTATGGCTCCCTTGCCAGTGGTTTTGTTTTCTATTATTTCTATCCTAAGTGCTCTTCTTCCTAAGGGACTATGGTTTAAACCTTTTTTATTTTAATCTTCATTTAAGTTTTCCCTTTTTCCTAGGTCTTTTCTTAGCTTGTTACTCCCTTGAAAATGTGGTGGGTTTTTGTTTTGTTTTGTTTTATGAGGGGCAAGATTTCCTATGGTTATCACAATGGGTATTTTTACCTCTCTCTCCAAATACTAAACCTTAAACTTTTCCCCTTTAATTTCCTGAATTAGGAGTACAATTGTAATTTTCTTTTTATCTTAATAACAAAAAGTATTGTCTAGTCTCAAAATTATTTCTAGTGAGACTTAACAGTTATTTCTGAGAAGTCTCAATCTTAATCACTTTCTCTTGTATATCTATGTGGCTACTGATTATTTCCTCTCGGTAACAGCAAATCTTTCTGAAGAATGTAAAATTAATTTTGTCCAGTGTAAGCCACCATTCCTCTCCCTTTGCAAATTCTCTTTTTTTTTTTTTTTTTCCTATCTAGATATCCTTTTTTGACCCAAAGCTGATAGGCAGCTGTAAGAGTAAAATCATGAACTTTTCTTTAAGGAGGGAGGCAGGCCCACCTTCCCTCCTCAGGGTGTCAGGATAAACAAGGATATGAAATATCTTGCAAGTACATGAAATATAATTAAAATATTCATATAATGCCCTAGAAAAAGTACTGTATGGTTTGTACAGTCAAATGTTAGAGTTAGGTGGTTCTTAACTCTAAAAGGATCTTTTATAAATCTATTTCCCATTTTATAAAAGAGATTAACATTAAAAGGTATAAAATTCCAGGGCATACCTGATAATCTGACGGCATAACAGGCCCACCTGAGTTTGCACCTGAAGGCCCTAGCCGTGGCTTCTTGTTTGGAGGCACCTGATTCAGGCCGGAGTCCTGGCTGTGCTGCAGCCCTGCTCCAGTGCCCCCAACCCCAGTCCCTCCTGTAGTCCCATTGGTCTGGGTGCTGTTCTGCTGTGGCGGGGGTGCCTGTGGAGGGGCTGCTGCCTGCTGTGGAGGGGCTGTGGGCTGCTGATGTTGATTCTGCTGCTGTTGCTGATTCTTTTAAGGTGGTAAAAAAAAGCAAACTTGGTATGAAACTAAATTAACAGGAAATGTCTCTCATTACTTGATATGCACATGTGACTGCTGACCAACCAGAGGAGCAACCTATATGGACATTAAAGTGACTGAAATGACCAGAGAATGGAGCAGCCAGGTAATACAGCACTCCCAAAAGTCATCATACTAAGCCCTAAACAGGATTCATTCTCTGAAGTTCACTTAAAGTGAGCAGTAATCCTCCAAATCAGTCACTGACATCTCACCGAAGGCCATAATGCACTTAGGAAATAGTTTTGTACTCATTAAAACAGCTATAAGAAGTCTTTTTGATCATGTTTGTGGAAAAGTAGAGCAGTGTGGGGACAGGGCTGATATACTAGTTAAGATAAAAAAACTGAGATGCTTGCAAAAGCCAGCCTACAGAAAGTGATGGCGATGACCCTGAACAAACACAAAGGGAAACAATTAGTAATCAGGGAATAGAATGGGCTATAAAACTAACCAGTAAAGTGCATTTATCTGTAAGCTTATTATACTTCAAACTTCAGCATACATCCACAATCCCCAAACTTCCACAGAAAATAAAATAAATAATAATTAAATTAAAGGCAGCTAAATATATAGGAATTATTAAATTATACCTTCCTGTTATCTTTTTGCTTCCCTTACTCTCTGGATGTAAAAGTGTATCATATAATTTATACCTTTTCACCTTTTTCTTCAGGTTCATCTTCATTAAGGAATTCTCGTTTGGGATATGGAATCTGGCAGCCAGCAAACACACTAAAAATCATTAAAAAAAAAAATACATGTCATGACTTAAAATCTACACTATCATTACCTTGTCAATTTAAAATTCTACTTTTTTTTCTTATTTCCTGCTCTTTATCTGTGGCTGGTACAGCTGGATGCCTTCCAACACTACTTAATTTAAGTAATAAGAAAAGAACAATTAGTTGTCTGAAGTTTTACACTAACTGCCACTTTCAATTTCAAATCTTGACTGCTGTTAGCCAGTTAATATATACAACATTGAAGTTTCTCCACACTAACCTCATTAGCACCAAAAATAACTGAATTTGCATTTGCTTCAACAAGAAAATAGCTTTTTTTCTCAAGAAAAACTGCACCTCTAATAAATTCAAGCACCAAATATATAATGGGTGTAATAGGGATGAAGAAGTAGAGAGATTTTACAGTGAGTGCAGTGGACATGCTCTGGAAGACAGAATTTTAAGTTCTTAGTTCCCTACTTGTTTGGTTTAATCTCTGATCTGGCTGACTAGTCTATAAAAGTCTCATCTGTTTTCAGATTTAGTTTTCATCTATAAAACTGACTGTCACTCCTAAAATTTGTTTTCATTCACACCTCTCTATGGCTTTGCCTATTTCAAAATATGGGACCATTCTCTTCAGCAGTTTTTCTCAAGGTAGTATTAATAAAGAAAGTTAAATATCTCAGTAACAAGTGCTTTCAGCCACCATCCAACACCCTCAACCTGAAGCAAAGGACACAGAAAAGGTAGGACACATACTCTAATGTTGGCAAAGGGTCCTCCTGAAAATAGGGATCCTGCAGGGCCTGCTCCGAGGTAATTCTCTTGGTTGGATCCATAGTGAGGAGTTTCTGAAGCTAGGGTAACACATAAGAAATTGATAACATATGAAAAGGTTGTTTACAAGTCAATGTTTTGACTCTTGTATTAATGTCTAACAGGATTAACATCAAATGTATTTTGTATGGCTCACTGCATGATTATAGTGTACTATACACATTTATATGAAACTGGCAGAAATCATCAGCATTAAAGACCTTTAAAATTTTTTTCTACTAATAAATCATTTAAAAAATTAAGGCTAGAAGTCAAGGGTGACAACTCAACAGAAAAATATTTAATTTTGCCCCAGCATCCACCAATTTCTAAAGAGGAGGAATAGCTGGGAATTCCATGGTAAATGGGATGAGGTGAGAATTGTGTTAAGGATCAGATTTCAGTCTGGGAGAGAAGCACCTACCAAGAGGAACACTTTGCTGTCAGGCTTGACCTTGTGTTTCTCCATGTACTTTATGAGGCTACTGTTGGCGTACCTGCAAGGACATGGACAGTTACTTCTTTGAGAACACTCACACAATTTGTATTTTTTACGTTTATTTTTTTGTATTTTGGCAGCTGGCCAATACGGGGATCCGAACCCTTGACCTTGGCTTGGTGTATTCTAAACAACTGAGCTAACTGGCCAGCCATTGTACTTTTTAATGAAAAGTTCCAAGACTGATTTTCTTATAAGATATGTGTTTAAGTCTTTTTTTTCTGATTAAAAAGGAACACATCACCAAATACTGGCAAACGTGTAAAGAACAGGAGTTGTTACACACTACATTTGAGAGTTTATATTGTTACAATCACTTTGGAAAATAATTATGCATTAACTGTTAGAGTTGACAATGTATATATTCTATGACCCTACAATTCTATTTCTAGTTACATAATCGAGTCTATGAGACGCTTTTGCACATGTACATCAGGATATGTTAACAAGAATTGTTCCTAGCAGCACTTTTGTAATAGTAAAAAAACTGTAAACAACCAAAATGTCCGTCAACTGAAGAATGGGTAAATATACTGTTATATATTCACAGGATGGAATGTTATACAATAGTAAAAATGAAAACATAAGGTTGAGTGGAGAAAAAAAAGTTGCAGAAGTATGCTAAAACTTATATAAAGTTCAAAGATATTAAATTGAATAACAATTTTAAGAGATATATCCATGTGGAGGGAAACTATAATGAAAAATGTGGGATGATAAACACAAATTCAAAATACTCAGATATTCCCTCTGGGGGGGATGTGAACAAGGATAGAGGGTACACAGGGTACTTCAGTAATCTTAGTAATGTTCTATTTCTTAGGTTGAGAGGTAAGTAGAGGGATATTCATTTTATTATTCCAAATATACTATATGTCACTTCCATCATCTATATTCTTTCCTACATATGAAATATTTCAAACTAAAGAGGTCGAAAAATACGTAATATATGCTCCTGGTAAAAAAAAAAAAATAATATAGAAAAATATAAAGAAAATTAAAATCACTCATAATCAAGCCATCCAATGATAAAGAACTACTATCAAAATTTGAATCATTTCCCTCTGGCATTTTTTTCTATACATATACACATATGATACAAACAGAGGGATTTTTTGCTTTGTTTTCATAAAACTGGAATACTGTTAAAATTGTTATAACTTTTTTTCACTTAATATTGTTTCATAAACATTTTCCTTTGTCAAATACTCTTTAAACTTTTTTTTTTTTTTTTGTCCTTTTTGAGACCGGCGGCACCGTGCTCAGCCAGTGAGCACACCGGCCATCCCTATATAGGATCCGAACCCGCAGCGGGATGCTGCTGCACTCCCAGCGCCACACTCTCCCGAGTGCGCCACGGGCTCAGCCCTACTCTTTACACTTATTGAGTAGTTGTATATCTCCTACTGGTACAGATGTCCCATAACAGCTATGAAATGCAGGTCCTTGTAGGTAAACCTGGTGCACATGGCAAGTGAGAATCAAAGACCCCTAACGGACCCTGACTCAGTCATTTACCAGTTGTGTGATCTTGGGAAAGTTAGTTAACCTCTATGAAAGCCTTAGATTCCTCATTTGAAAACTAGGGATTACAATTATACCTATCCTACAGATTGCTATGAAGATCATATCATAAAATGTATGTGCAGGGCTTAGCATCATCCTGGCACATAGTAAGTACTTAGTTATTTATGGCAGCTCTGATTACTTCCACAAGATAAATTCCGGGAATCATCAAGTCAAAGGGTATGAACATTATAAAGCCTTTTTTTTTTTTTTTTAAAAAGATGACCGGTAAGGGGATCTTAACCCTTGACTTGGTGTCAGCACCACGCTCAGCCAGTGAGCAAACCGGCCATCCCTATATGGGATCCGAACCCGTGGCCTTGGTGTTATCAGCACCGCACTCTCCCGAGTGAGCCACAGGCCGGCCCATAAAGCCTTTTTTTTTAATGTGTTCTAGAATCTTACTATACAAACGTGGTCCTGATCAAGCCATCATACAAGCATGGGCATCACCTGGGAGCCTGAATTAGTTTCTCAGGCCCCCCCCCAGATTCTGACTCAGAATCTACATTTTTAACAAGGTCTCCAGGTGATTTGTATGTACATTAAAGTTTGAGAAGCACTTATTCTCAACAGTAAGAGTGCCTATTTTATTGTACTCTTGTCAACACTAGTTATTTTCATTTAAAAAATCTTTGCCATGTGTACACACATATTTTTAAATTCCTCTAATACCAGGAAAATTTCCATTGGCAAGGTAGCCACTGGGTTTGGTAATGGGAAGAAACCTTAAAGTTTACATAGAGATGGAGTCTGTCTCTAGGTCTTTAGGCTGAATCAACTGTTTACTTTGGTTAACACCAGATGTTAGGTTATTTGTTTCTATCATAATATAAAAGGTCTTGAATTTTAGGTATCCTGTTACTCAATTCCCATTTTGGTTTCTTCTCGTCTTTCCTAGTATTAAAATTAGGCTGAATTGTTTGTCATATTCTGAATTATTCTTTTTCAGGTTTGGAAGCTCTGCAGTTTTCAAAGTAATTCAAATTCATTATATACTTTATGGAGCATTTTATCAGACAATGTATATTTGGACATTCAATAAAGTCAACCTAATCATTTCCTTTCAATTCTATTTTCACCTTGCTTTCTAATGAGCTAATTAGAGTTAACACTTTGGCAAGATTACAAAAACTTATATTATCATTCTTCCCAATTCATTTTGAGAGAAATTTGTTTGGTCCCTTTTGTCTGATATGATAAAAACAAGTTATTGTCCTTTTACTTTTTATGTCATTTGAAATAATATTTTCTAGGATCTTTTTCTTAATTATATTTTACTTTAGTGACTTTTAGGTACTGTGTTAGATTTAGCTAATTTTTAATAAACCCCTCTTTGTCCTATATAGCCTACTTTTATGTGGGTAAAACTGTTTGTGTAAGAAGTATGGGTTCTTATCTCTGGACTTTTCCTATTACTTTTCTAACTGAATTTCATTTATCATTTAAAATTCCTTTCCTTTTAGTTCTGATTATTGTAAATACTATCATTTTATGTAAAACTTCTCATTTGGTCTGGTCTTTAAATACTAAATTAAATGTTAAGTGCTGTCTTTAATTTTCTCCATCTTTTATATTATTAGGGCATCTTCAATTACTTGAACAACTTTCATTTACTACCCATTTGATAAGTAATTAATGAGCATGTACTATGTGCCAGGCTCTGGAGATACATATGGTGTATAAAACAGAGATGATCCATACTATCTAGAGGGAAAGACAAGGAGTATTCAAAAGCAAACTGGAGGGCACTGTGATCCGTTCTGAGAGAAGCAGCACAGGATGTGACAGGAATGTAAGGGGGAGTACCTAGTCTAGACCTGGAAGGTCAGAGGAGCCAAGACCTAAAGGATAAATAGAAAGAATAATTAAGAGTTAATCTGATGAAAGGGGCAGGAGGAAAGTTCATTCTACTAAGGAAACAGCATGTGTCAAAACACACAGATTAGGACCGACCCGGTGGCGCACTGCTATAGTGCGCCGCTTGGGAAGCGCGGTGGCGCTCCCACCGAGGGTTCGGATCCCACATACAGACCGGTTCCCGCTCACTGGCTGAGCGAGGTGCGGGTGCAGCACCGAGGGTTGCGATCCGTTGCCGGACACGAAAAAAGACAAAAAGGAAAAAAAACAAAAACAAAAACACACAGATTAATGAAATTTCAGGGTGTTTGAGGTACTTTAAGCTGGCCAGTTACTTCAGTTGGTTACAGCACAACCTTGTAACACCAAGGTCAGAGGTTCATATCCACTTACTGGCCAACTTCCAAAAAAACCCAAAGCGATTGTAAAACAAACAAACAAAAAAATTCTACAATGTTTAGGCTACAGAATGCAAAGTGGAGAGTGGTTATATGAACCTGGTGATGAAGAAGCCAAGGCTTTGTAAGCCATATTAAGGAACTGAGAGCAATGGTAAATTAAGAGCAACTAGAAAAGTGACATGATCAAACTTGCTCTTGATGAAAAAGACAAAAAAGAAAAAAAAAAAAAAAACACACAGATTAATGAAATTTCAGGGTGTTTGAGGTACTTTAAGCTGGCCAGTTACTTCAGTTGGTTACAGCACAACCTTGTAACACCAAGGTCAGAGGTTCATATCCACTTACTGGCCAACTTCCAAAAAAACCCAAAACGATTGTAAAACAAACAAACAAAAAAATTCTACAATGTTTAGGCTACAGAATGCAAAGTGGAGAGTGGTTATATGAACCTGGTGATGAAGAAGCCAAGGCTTTGTAAGCCATATTAAGGAACTGAGAGCAATGGTAAATTAAGAGCAACTAGAAAAGTGACATGATCAAACTTGCTCTTGATGATGATTGTAGTATAGATAGTGAGTTGGAATGAAGAGTAATAGAGATAGAAATACCACTTAGGAGGCCATTGCAGGATTGTAGGGGAGAAGAGGATGATGATCTGGACCATTAAAGTGGCAGCGTAGATGGAGAGAAATAGAAAGATTCAAAGGATATTTTATTTATTTACCTATTTTTGCGGCTGGTGGGTACGGGGATCCAAACCTGTTCAAAGGATCTTTAGAAGAAAGACCTGACTAGATTTGCTAATCATTTGGATGTTAGGGTTGAAATGGAAAAGAGAGCGAGACAGAAGAAAGATCAGGGGTAATTCTCAGGTCTTTGGCTTCAACATTTAGGTGAATCATGGAGCCATTTCCTAAAACAGGAAATAGAGCCAGAGAAGACACTTAGGAAGATAGATGATGAGTTCAGTTTTGGACGTTTAATTTAAAACATTTATAGAACATTCAAGTTGGGATTACATACGGCAATTAAATAAATGAGTTTGAAACTTGAAAAAGAGATCTGAGTAGGATATATAAATTGGGAGTTATCAGCATAATTGATGGTATATTGTGGCCATCAAACTCATGGAGTCTGCCTGGGAAAACATTTAGAGTGAGAAAAGAGCCCAGGACAGAACTTTGATATGAGTGCTACCTTTAAGAGATGGACAGAGGCAAAGGACTGTACAAATGACTGTGAAAGACGGGACAGAAATGATCTATGCCAGCCTCGACTTCTCTTTATAATGTCTGCTTTTGCTCCTAAAAAGACATTTTGTCCTGAAATTTTCCTGGTAAGTTGCCCAAAGAAAACCTCTTTCACCATTTCCTCCAGATGTGCATATTTATAATAAATTTCTCTCATTTCTACTCAATGTATATTCCCCACCAGTTTGTTTTACTCAGATCCCAAGCCATGTGTTCTTTTTTCTGCCATTCCTTCTGGTTTCCCAGTCCAACATTTCAGTCACCACTCATTACGCAGGTAAAGATAAACCACATTTGTGGCCTTGAACTGAGATCCTTATCATGCTAAAACAGAATAAACATTTAAATTACCTATTGACCCTTAAATTCTTAAAAGTTTTTAAATACTACAGCCTCAATATGGCATATAGGTTAACAGTATCTAGAATACCTTCTTAAATCATAGACATTTAATTATTAATATGTGCTATGGTTTGAATGTTTGTTTCTCCTCCAAATTCATGTTGAAATTAAATTCCCAATGCAACAGTATTAGAGGCTGGGGACCTTCTGGACGTAATAAAGTCATGAGGCCTCTGCCCTTTTTTTGCCCTTCTGCCTTCCACCATGTGAGGACACAGCAATGAGGCACCATCCTGGAAGCACAAAGAAGCCCTTGCCAGACACTGAACCTCTGGCACCTTGATCTTGGACTTCTCAGCCTCCAGAACTGTTAGAAAATAAATTTCTGTTGTTTACAAATCACCCAGTCTAATGTTGTTTTTTTTTTATAGTAACACAGACTAACATACGGAATTACTTACGTTGTTCTTCTAAAGTCTTTTTGAAGTGTTGGGTATTCTGGCATCTTTCTAATATCTTCCCAGTCTTTATCTTACCAAATAAAAATTGAATATTGTTATAAAAAATAATTTTACTTAAAATCGAATTATTTTAGTTTAAAAATATACATAAAATACACTTAAAATATGCTTTCAAAAGGAAATGATTTTGAAATACGACTCAAAATGTAATTTTGAAAAGGAAAATAAATTACCTGCAGGAAACCCCATGACGCTAAATATCCGATCTAGTTGATCATGATGAAAGGGATTGCTTGTTTTTATATCTTCCTGACGACAGTGAAAAATAGGTTCTGAAGTCAACAATTCAGCAAATATGCAACCTATTGCCCATATATCTATAAAGGAAGAAAAACAAGTTTTTGTACACATTTATTATATTTCCTTGGCTATAATTCCTGGGTATAATCCCAACATACATATAAAAATACTTTTCAGTAAAGAAATATACAAAGTACAATAAGCGCATTAAGAAAACATAAATATGACATGAAATAGCTATATCAACATGTAAAAGATTGAAAGCCAAATAAAAATAAAAACATTTTACTTGTAAATTTCCTGATGAAGATAAACTTGGCAAATTCAACTTAGCAAGCAATAAATTCTTTAGATTTAGGCAAATGGCTTTCTAACTATTATCAATAATTTAATCACTGGCTTCACTGATAATCTAATACAGGGCATAATAATATTTAGATCTGATAGACTGAAACAATGCTATCACCAGATATGGTGATGTAATTCCTTTAAAGCAACCAAATGCACAATGATAGAGCAGAATTTATAAGTTTTGAGTCTAGTACAGATCACACGAAAGGATTTGGAAAAACTCAACTTTTGTCTGAAAGACTACCAGCTTCAGTTTTTTCGATAAATTGTAAGGCCTAGAAGCTGATAAACAATACAAATATACACATATAGAGACACTGCATGACACCAGTAGACATAGTTCTCATCTAAATCTATTCACTTAGATGCTGACCCACCCCCACCCCCAGGATAAAATTAGGCATTTTTATCAACTATTTAAAATCACCAGTTATAGATTGTTCTATTGGATTTTAGATGTTGGAATACTGTAACTTATATTCTGAGGCTATAATATTACATTCACGATGGTTTGCCAAATGTATAAATGAATTAACTTTTGCAAGATGTATATTCACACTTGCCCACTTAAATGCCATTTAGTAAGTATTAGAAAAGATAATGATGGGGCCGGCCCAGTGGTGCACTCGGTAGAGGGCGGCGCTCCCGCCGAGGGTTCGGATCCCATATAGAGACCGGTCCGCTCACTGGTTGAGTGCGGTGTGGGCGCGACACCGAGGGTTGCGATCCCGTTGCCAGTCGCGGTAAGGGCGCGACACTGACGGTTGCGATCCCTTTACCGGTCACGAAAAAAGACAAAAAAAGGAAGAAAAAAAAAAAAGAAAAGATAATGATGAAAGGTCTATGGTATAGTATAGTAAAGTACAGTGTTTAGTAGCCTATCAAGTGTGTGAATCACACCAGTAGATAAGCTAAATAAGAAAAAAGTTTAATTATACCCATCAGCTAGAATAAGTATCAGTATGCTGTTTCATAAAACAGATCGCCAAATGAAAAAACCATACAGTAATGCCTTACTTATCTGACCCTATTCAGGAATGGTTTCCTTCCATGTAAGTTAGCCTTCCGGATAATGGGAGCATATCCTTTCAATAACTGTTCTTTATTACAGCATTATCTGCCATTATAAGAGTCTATAAAACATAATTTAATCTTCCTTAATGATGCAGCAAGGTCGTCATCATCATGAACCATCCATCACTAGAGTAATAATACTATTCAGTGACTACTTTTTAATTCTTTTCACTCTCCCACATCATGTAGGCTGTCACTCTTGCCCCTGATATGGCTGCCTCCGATGGTCCCAATTTCTCTTCTTCCTGGCTGCCTCTACTATGCAGTAAACTGGGACTACTACTGCGTGCTGCTGGTCATACCAATTCCTGGTTTGTCCTCTAGTCAAAGGATAGGAGCCAGGATCTAAATTTCCCTGTGAATTGCTAAGATAAGAAACCTGAGTAGCAGGGAGTGTTAAATTCTAGGGTTTCTTGCCACATATTAGCCTATAATTTTAAATGGTCACATAGCACTATACCTACTTCTTGGGTCTCTTTCTTCTATCAATGACTTGTTCTCCTGACACACACCCCTAGCACTGCTACTGCCATCACTGCCACTCCCCTTCCTCACTAAATGTCACTCCATAAACCTCCACTGATATCATATCATCAAGCTCTCTTTTTCTATGCACTGAATAGAAACATTCATTTCTGACACGGACCAGGTATGGAGAAGAGTGACAATGAGTGAATACATATATACTTACATATGTCTGCAATGAATATATCTCAAGCCCAAAGACAACTGGTTCGGGAATTATTATTTTCCCTGTCTTAACTCTTCTCCTAACATCTATCCAGAATGAATAATTGGGAGTTGACTGAAATTAGAAATTAGTGGTTATGTTTTTATCTTTAAGTGGTAAATCTCAAACTGAGCAAGTAAATTTCAAGCTGGTTGAATTCAATTTCAGTTCTCCTTTACCCTTAGGAAGCAAGAAATATAGTTGGTTTTCAGTTCATACCCAATTATCTCTATTTCCAAAAAACCACATCTACTTTCATTTCAACAGAAACCTCTAGTTTTGAGGAGGGCTCTCTCCTGCTGACTCTCTCAATTCATAGCTGGGCCCTCTGAGGACAGTATACCAGGTAGCAAAATCTCTGAAGCTCTGTTAAGAAGTAAACTTTAAATCCAACAGAGAGTGTGTTTATAATAGGTTTCCTTACTCAGTTTTTGTACTTGGTAAGATGGCAAGATGCTGGGCACAGCTAAACTACCTAGACTTTATTTCCTACCTTAACAGAGAAACTGTCATTCTGATAACTGTAATGGCAAGAGAGAAAGATCAGCCATATTCTTTCTTGCTTAGGAAAAGATATGACCGACTAACTTTTTCCCAAATAAAAGGGGTTTTCTCTAACACTGCACTACTCCTGTTTTTCTGTTTTTCTTTTTGTGAAGAAAACAATTCTTGATCTCTCTCCAGTTCTTTTGATCAATAGCTAGGTAAGTACAAAATAAAACTTGCATATTATCATTTCCATAGCAACGCAAAAGGATCAGATACCTTCATTTTCTGAAAGAGAACACTTTCTTCTATTAAAAGAACAATATTCTCCCAAACAGTTAAAAATCCAAACCTATCAGAATGTAAAATCTAGGAATATAGAAGACAACAGGACTTTTACAAAGAGATAGAAAGTGGTTTTTACCAAGTGGCTTTATAATTATAACTTCTAATATTTATAATAGTTTGATGCCAAGACAGTAAATCATTTTGGACTAACTTACCAATGGCCTTTGTATAATGCCTTGCACCAAGCAAAAGTTCTGGAGCCCGATACCAAAATGTCACAACTACTGGATCCAAATCTGCTAGTGGCTTTAGAGGAGAATTGAATAATCTGGCAAAACCCATGTCAGCTAAAAGATAAAATAAATTAATATAAAACTCAGTTTGACACACTATTAGAACCATGCAAGGTTGACAACAATACCCACTAGCCTTATAAAGTAATCCTTGTCCTCCCTTTTTAACTAGAGGTCTATACCAGGGACAGGATAGGAATTACTTCATTTATCTTTAGTATCCCCCCAACCCTGTGGTAAATACTATTATTGTGCCTGCTTTACTAATGAAGAAACTGAGGCTTAAACACACTAACTTGCACAAGGTCATAAAGCTAGTAAGTACAGAGTCAGAATTTGAACCCAGGTCCGACTTCAGGTTTCCAGCTTTCAGAAACAGTTATAATTTTTTTTTTTTTTGATGGTTGGCCAGGATGGTGATAATATTCTTAAGAGTTTCTAAAATCTAAAATAGGCTTAAAGGTCTCCATGATTAATTATGATCTCTGTATGCCTATACATATAAAAATTGACTATATCTTAGTTCAATGTGTGCTGGAGCCAGCTCCTACAAACTCGTGAATGCTGATTTGTACATATCTCTTCCCAACTCTGCATTCTCATGACTTAGAACTGGCTATGGTGGTAGTATTTACATCATGGAAAACAGCAAATGCTACAAATTGAGACTTTTTCTCTTCCAGAAAGCCAGATGTTGAACATAACCAGCATATCATATATATGTTTCCAAGAACATGCATAGAACACATAAGAGATAATTTGTTATAGTTCAGCATTAAACAAAGGTCTAAACCAAAGCTAACCAATTTAAATATTAGGGATACACAAAATTAGTACAAAGAATGTTTATTACTATAATAAGGTCCTGGAAACTAATTTTTCTAAGAGTTCATAAATAACTAATACCTTGTATCTATAAAGCACCTTACAGTTTACAAATGACTTTCATATATATCATATATCACCTCACTTAACCCTCATAAGAACACTGGTTTAATAAGTATTTTGTGCCCCACTTCTGAGATAAAGAATCTAAGACCCAAAGCAGTTAAATGATTTGCCCATGGTCATAGAGATAGTAAGTGAAGACGCCAGTACTCAAACAATAACCATGTTATAATTCAGGAGCTACATTCTTAACCACTGATCTGACATCCAAGAAATTATACATATGATAATTGCAAGTCACAAAGGCAAAGTCACAAAAATGACAAACCTCTACGATTTGAAATATGTTATCTACACCGTATATTTTGATTATATAAGGGGCCCCAATGTACTATAAAATGCACAAATGCACATAAAAGTGCACTATAAAGTATATTTTAATCTAAAACTAATATGCTATGATATAACATACATTAAAATTTTAACTTACAGAGGATTTTGTTTCTATAGAGTTTGAATAATTTAGAAGACTTTCTGAGAATGGTTTGGAGTATCCAGTCTTAAAAGATAAAGCTATCCAAGGAAGGCTGGGCTGATGCCTACTCTTTTTAAATTAAATTTCCCTATAGCAAATAAAAATATTCTAGATCATTCTACCAATATTACACATATTATTCTACAATATTATACAATATTTGAGTATCCAGTCTTAAAAGATAAAGCTATCCAAGGAAGGCTGGGCTGATGCCTACTCTTTTTTAATTAAATTTCCCTATAGCAAATAAAAATATTCTAGATCATTCTACCAATATTACACATATTATTCTACAATATTATACAATATTTAAAGCACTACTTTATTTATTTAATAGATGCTGATTGTTGTTGATGGTAAAATAACATGATGGAGTGCTGCTTCATCCACTGAAAGGTGTTTTAAAGTAAAGTCTAAAGCCAGTATTTCTCCTCTTATTCTTTACCTCCTTAATTCTGTCTAAGCCTCATCTATTCACTGTCAGATGAAATCAAGGCCAGAGGGGAAAAAAAAAATACTCTTGAAAGCAATTCCTGTCTATTGAATGAACTTCAAAGGAGTTTCAAACCACTTTTCAAATATTTACTAATTTAGTCAAAAGATAACCAGCCTAAACATTATTATAACAGTTATTTTCTGAAAATTAGATTTGGGTGAAATTGCTCAATTCAACAGATTGGTGTAGTAAAATTCTGTTATGGTCCTAATTAGGCATTATCAAATGATAGCAAAGCAGCAACAGACAAAGTACCACCAAGGTGAGATGACAACATACATAGAGTAGATAAAAGTAAAACAAGGAATAAGTATTGTCACAATAATGGAAGTTGCTACTGGTTTCTACTAGATGTTATGTCCCTTAGGGAGAGGCCCTGGGTCTCCTTCATGGTGTTATCTGGAACAACGTTTAATAAATATTTGTAAAAGTGAACTAAATTGAAAGTGTAACTTTAGCTGGATCCTGAAAGATAAAACATTTTGAATAATAAAAATGGAAGGCAAAAAGCATTTTAGGTAAGACCTGGGAAGTGTACAGCTTGCTGGAGATATAGGAAAGGGCACAATGTGTTTTCCATTCAACTATGCTTTTAAGCCAAAAAAAGAAGTGTTTTAAAACATTAAGCATAGGCATCAGCATTACTCATTTTTTTAAAATAAGGTGCTTTAAAAAAAAAAATAATAAATAAGGTGCTTTTAAAACAAAATCTCAAGGCAATTTAATAAACTAGATTGATTGTTCACTAGATTTTTATTATTAATTATTGCTTACTTTTATTCTGGTTTCATCCCTAATCTTGGATAGAATTACAATCCTAAAACTCTTAGCAATATAGTAACCAACTGGGCTAGCTAGAGTACAAAATTTTATGTTGAGCAGTAGTAAGGAGAAAACATAAGATATGGGTGACTGGGATAAATGTGAAGAATGGTACAAACGAAGAAGAATTGAAGATGATGATGAACTTGGTTTGGAACAACAGAGTACAGGCTGCCAGCAGGACATCCAAATAGAAATAAAGACGTCAGCTAGGGTGAGAGAATAGAATCTTTATCACAGAATCCAAAATTTTGAGATCACAATTTATCAGTTCCCTAAAGAAGTAATTGTAGAGGGAGACCATGTCCCAAGCCAGTGCCTAAGGTGTCTTGAAACAACAAGTTAATGAGTAAGAGTCAATAATGAATGAAATGTACAAGTAACAGCAAAAATGGTAGGTAGAAAAATAGAAATATGGGATATTATATGGACCAAGGGAGAAAACAGTTTCTCCCTTTGGACAGAAAAACAGAAAAACAAATGGTTTCTTGTAGTAAAGGAGAATGATGACTAATACAGGTCACTAGATTTGGTAAGATAGAGGTCACAGGTGTCCTATTATAGAGTAGTTTTGATAGAGGGATAGTTTTAGAGGCCAGATTAAAAAAAATTAGTGTAAGTGGAACCAAAGGGTGAACATGTATTCCAGAAGTAGAGGAAGAATAGAGGAAAATATCAGAACAAATACTAAAGAAAACAAGATGGATATAAGATTTATTTTAAAATTGAGAAGAGAATTATGAACATTTAAAGGTGAAGAGGAGAAACTTGAGAAGGGGAAAATAGCAATACTATAATATGAGAAGTGTAAGTACAACAGGAAGATATTGGGAAAGTAGGAAGGACACTAGTAGATAGGACTTAGTAAGGGAAGAATCACTGTTTCTCTGAAGCTGTTTCAAAGGTAGAGCTGTGCTGACAAAAGGTGAGGTCAGTGAGGTCACAACAGACAGCTCTGATATCACTAGGCAGTGATGTGGCAGAGATGTTTGCAGTAAGTCTGAGGACGTGAAACTCAAGTCCTAGCTTTGAAAGGCTGAGCAAGATAAAACTAACTCCAGCTTTCCTTATCTGTAGTATCTACATTTATAGGGTGGTTGCATAAAATAAATGAAGTAACATATGAAAGCACCCATCACACTGTATAGTAAACTGTTTATTTTACTGTCTCTCATAGGGAGGGAGCATCGATGTCTGGCAAAACGTAGGCAATCAATAAATACTTATAAGAAAAAGAGTGTGAGATTAAAATAAAAATAGAAAAGTGAGAAAGAGTGATGGAAAGAGGAAGGGAAAAGAAGAGAAGGAAAGCAGCTACTAGGAACTTAACAACAACAAATTTTTGAATGAATCTGAATCTCAGCAAACTCAGAGAAGAGGTTTAGAGAAAGGGAAGTTGGCTTAGAACAGCTTCTTCAGGAACTGGGCTAGGAAATTAACTGGAGTAGAAAGCCAAGCAGCAGGGCAGGACAGCATGAATTTGTAGTAGGTCAAGGTAGCGCAATTTTGCATCACTTCTAGCATGGTATATTCTAATAGCAAAGAAAGCAGACTGATGAAACAAAATTTATTTTAAAATATTTCTAGAAAGGGTTGAACATTAATAAATGTAATTCCTATTAAAAGAAATTAGAGTAAAGCATTTTTAGCTCATTTTCTCCACAAATATGTCATAGGTATAAATAATGATGCTGATTTCTTTTAGAATTTCAAGGTTGCAAAGGAAAACATAATATACAGATAAGACTCCTGATGGTGCCTTAATCTAAGACAGGTAAATAAGAGAGGCTATAAACATATATATGCATTTGGAAAAGATATGCTAGTACCTGGCACAGAACATTCAGGTCAGGGTGGGAGAGTGGGGAGAATCTGTGAGGGTCCATATGTATTAGATTAGGGTGGGGAGATATATTCAGGGAGAGAACATCTGGCAAATCTGAGACAAAAGTGAGATTTGGGGGATTATATTTAGGGTGATTTTGCAGGACAGTGATGGCGACATAAACACATGCTTGGGATATTGTATGGGAATGAATGTTTCTGTGGGCTTTCCTGTCAATTTCCAGTGGTGCCTCAAATTACAATTATACAATCTTATTTCAGGGAAAACTTGGGGGTTTTACAGACTACCTACATTTTCCAACATCTTTTCTAAAAATATTATCAGGACGTAATTTTTAAAATTAGCTACTTAAATATGAGTATTAAAAAGGGAAACCGTCTTTGCAGTCACTTCAATTTCTTAATAAATTATTTTATGAATCATTACCTACCTATTTTGACTCTCCCCCTCTCAGGACCTTCTCCCATTACTAGGATATTTGCTGGTTTCTAGAAATAAAAATAGAACATCCAAATTACTATGCTTATTCTTCTGACATGCTCTAAAATGGAAAAAAAAGTTCTTATAATATGAAAATATAATTTCTACATTTTCATCAAAATTATATTAGAATGTTAAGCACCTTCTACATAGTTAAAGCATTTGACACACTTAAAGTTAGCACTAATTTTATATAAACATCCTTGCTATGGAAACATACCTTATTTTCAAAATTGTATCATACAACTAATTACAAAGTAATTAAAGCTATCATTTCTATTCACCCCATAGAAAAAACTAATAATAATAATAATAATATTAAAACCTGCATAAATTATCTGCTTGCTGCCCACAACAAAGAGTTTATGTGGTTGAAAAATTATGTATAAAATTTCAAACCACAACAATTGCCTTCATTTACATAAATCAAATGGAATATTTGTTGCTTAATACTTTTAAACTACCATAGGAAAACATGATCCACATTCAACAGACTCCAACAGCTATAGTAACATGCAAAAGTGAGAAATTCCAAATATAATTTCAAGATGTAGGAAAATAAAAACAAAGCTAATACAGAGCTATATAAAAAAGAGGAGACTGCAAATGCACCTACCATCTTTTAAGTTGTCCTCATATGTACACATTTGGAAATAGAGAAACTGTGGAGATAGGCATTTGAGGGGGGAGGGGGCATGGTCTCCTTTGTAAACTCCAATTTGGAGAGAAAATTTATGTGTTTTTAACTTATTAGATTCATTTATTTAATCAATGAATATGTTTTTTAGTGTCTTCTAGAGACAAAGACCCATGCTAAGCATTAAGAGGAAAAACAAAAGCACAGTAAACCAAGTTCCTAACCTCCAGATGCTCATTATATAGGTGGAAAGAAAAATCAGAAGCTTTGTATAGTATTAGAAGCTTGTACTACGTATGAGTATAGAAAAGACTAATGTCTAGGGTCAGAGATTAAACTGGATTACTTTCAAGATCCTTTCCAAATTGCTGAGGTTTTTTTTTTTTTTTAATGTTTCAATGAAAACAATAAGTACTAAAAAAAAAAAGTTCAAAGGAGGAAGTGATTAACTACAGATATCATTGTTAAGGGAAATAAATATTCACTGGGTGTGGGGACAGGAACAGCATTCATTAGCCAGATCCTGAAAAATGAACAGGAACTAGCATGGCAGAGTACAGGAAGGACAAGGGCACTGCAGGAAGTAGAAAAGGCTATATAAGAGGTACCCTTAGGACTCAGTAAGAAATCTGACTTGGCAGAAATGAGAGGGCCTAGTTGGGGATGGCAGGATAAGCCTAGACCAGATATGGATAGTCTTATAGTCAGATCTATATTTAGGAAGAAAGTCTGGTAGCAGTGTGAAGGATGGACTGGAAAGGATGGATGAACCACAAAGTAGAGACAGAGAGAGACGAGTTGGAAGTGGGCTACAATAGTTTAGGGGAAAGTAAGGGCACCCTAACTTGTGATAATGATCATAGAGGAACATACCAAAGTGTTTCAAGGTAGAAGTTCAAGACTTGGCATCGCTTTTTTACATCATCCTCTCCACCCTCATTCATTCAACAAATATTGATTGAGCCCATACTAAGTAACAACAAGCAGTGGTTTAGATGCTAGAGATACAGTAGCAAACAAAAACAGGGAAAACCCTTACCCTTATGGAGTTTACATTCCAGTGGGAAGAAAAAGACAATAAATAAACAAATATACAGTACATCGTATGATAAGTTCTATGTGAAAAAACAAAACAAAGAGGTCGTGACACCTGGTATTTGGTTAACAAGGTGCTCTGAGGGACCCTGTCCTTACAGAACAACTATATGTTGCATATGAAACATTCCTTGAAGCATCCCCTACCTCACAAGAGGTCAGGAATATGTACAACAGCCTTCATCCCTGCTCCAGATAACATAACTTTGTTGCTGGAGGGTTAAGGAATCATAAAATTGACCTGAGAGCAGATGCCAATAACACACTTTAATGGGAACACTGAACCTTGGGCCCCTATCAAGGTAAGGAAGCTGCGTCTGCTACCACACAATCACCAAGACCATCAAGGGGGCTAAAGTAAAGCTAGACATTGCCAGCAGAAGCAAAAGCAAGCCCTTTCTGTAGGAAAAACTTCCCAACTTAGACCTGAGGAATAAAATAATACATTTTCTAGCTAAAAGACAGATTATTTCCATATTGGATTAAAAACAAAATCCATTCATATGCTATTTACAAGAGGCCCACCGAAAAAAAAGGACCATAAAAGCCGAAAGTAAAAGGATGTTAAAAGATATGCAAACTGCTTAAAAGAAAGCTGAGTCAACCACAGTAACATCAGACAAAACAGAAACAAAATCCATTCATATGCTATTTACAAGAGGCCCACCGAAAAAAAAGGACCATAAAAGCTGAAAGTAAAAGGATGTTAAAAGATATGCAAACTGCTTAAAAGAAAGCTGAGTCAACCACAGTAACATCAGACAAAACAGCTTTTTTTTTTTTTTCCTTTTTTGTCTTTTTTCGTGACCGGTAACGGGATCGCAACCCTCGGTGTTGCATCCGCACCGCACTCAACCAGTGAGCGGACCGGTCCCCACATGGGATCCAATTTTTTTCCTTTTTTGTCTTTTTTCGTGACCGGTAACGGGATCGCAACCCTCGGTGTTGCGTCCGCACCGCACTCAACCAGTGAGCGGACCGGTCCCCACATGGGATCCGGCAACGATCCTAAACTTATTTTGTACTTTTCATTTTATACATATATATGTACACACACACATACATATAGCAAAAATTGTAAAAAATTATATCAATTATATATATATATATATAGCAAAAATTGATATAATTTCAGGGAGTTAAAAGACCAATGATAATATACTTTTCTCAATTACTGATATGTCAATCAGACAAAAGACTATTAAAATATAGACTATTCAAATGATATAATTAACAAGGATGATCTAGTGAACATACACACAACTTTTTACCCAATACTTACAGAATACATGTTTTTCTCAAGCATACATGGAATATTTACGAATATTGATCATGTACTAGCAGGTCTCAAGAAATTTCAAGGAAGTGATATCAAATATCTGTTCTCTGACCTCAATACAATTAAGTTAAAACTCCTTCACAAAAGTGTAAATTTAAAACTTCATATATTTAGAAATTTAAAAATACTTCTAAATCACTCAGAGGTAAAAGGAGAAACCATAAAGAAATTAAAAATACTCAGAACTGAAATAATAAAAGTACTACCTACCAAAACCTATGGAAGCAGCCAATGTAGTACTTATAAGGGAAATTTATAGTCTTAAATATTTATGTTAGGAAGAAGGAAAGGCTGAAAATAATGAATTATGTGCCCAAGTTAAGAAGTTTTAAAAAAGGGAGAAGAATCTCAACAGAATAAACCAAAAGAAAACAAAAGCAAAAAATAATAATAATGATAATAATAATAAAGCTAAAGGCAGAAATCTATGAACCAGAGAGGATTTATGAAGCTTTTGGGACAACTGAAGCAAGAAGAGAGAACGTGCAAAAAAAAAAAAACTACACTACAAATGAAAAAAAGGAACTATAGATACAGTGGAGGATAGAAAGATAAAAGAATCTTATGAAGAACGTTTTACCTATTAATTTTAAAATGAATACAAAATAGACAAAATCAAGAAAATGTAACCTACAAATTGATTCAAAATGAGTTAGAAAACCTACAGAAACCAAGAAGTGCTTAATACATTGAAACTGTAGTTAAATAAAAATTTTCTTACTGAGAAAACTCCAATTCCAGATCATCTTACAGGCAAGTTCTCCAAATTTTCAATGAACAGATTATTTCAATATTATTCAAATATTTTCAGAGAACAGAAAAAGAGGAAATGCTCCAAACATGTTCTAGAAGGCCATTATTTGGTCTTGATAGCAAAATCCGACAAAGCATAAAAAAGAAAAATTTCGGGGCTGGCCCGGTGGCGCACTGCTACAGTGCGCCGCTTGGGAGCGCGGTGGCGCTCCCGCCGAGGGTTCGGATCCCACATACAGACCGGCCGCAACACCAAGGGTTGCGATCCCGTTGCCGGTCCCGGTCTGGTACGGGCGTGACACTGAGGGTTGCAATCCGTTGCCGGTCACAAAAAAAGACAAAAAGGAAAAAAAAAAAGAAAAATTTCAGGCCAACCTCACTCATGACTATAGACACAAAAATATTAAACAAGATATTACTAAGTCAAACCCAGAAACAGAATGCCAGGATGACTTAACATGAGAAAATCTATATAAGTGCATCACCATATTAATAGACTAAAGAAGAAAATACAATCATTTTGGTATGAGGGTACTTCAAAAAGTTCATGGAAAAACAGAATTAAAAGGTAATGCAAATCTTCCCATGAACTTTTTGAAGTACCCTCATAGATGATGAGAAAGCAGCTGATAAAACTTAACACCCATTCATGAAACTTTCTCAGCAGGTCAGACTAGGGGAAAAAACTTCCTTGACCTGATAATGGATATATACCAAAAACTACTAAGAAGCATTCCCTTTAAAGTCAGGAATAATGCAAGGATGCACACTATCACCATTTCTAAAATCAATACTGTACTATCAATCCAGTGCTATACAGAACAATAATTAAAGGCATATGGACTGGAAAAGCAGAAACAGAACTATTGTTATTTGTAGCTGATATAATTATCGATATTGAAAACACAGAGTATTTACAGACAAATTATTAGCAATAGTAAGAGAGTTTAGCAAGCTCTCTGGCTAATTCAATAAATAAAAAAGTCAATTGTATTTCTATATACCAGCAAAAAAAGTACCAGGAAATATAATTTTTCAAAGGCAAACACTTCTATAGCAACAAAAACTATACAGTGCCTAGGAATAAATATATCAAAGGACATGCAAGATTCGTATGCAGAACACATGAAACCTTATCCTAAATGATATTAAGTAGTCTTAAATAAGTTTATTTTTAATTTTATTTTATTTAAAATAATTTTTTTGGTGGCTGGCCAGTACAGGGATCTGAACCCTT